ATAGTTCCCAAGACCCCACCTCCAAAAATAACCAGAGTAAAGTGGACCAGAGGTGTGACTCAGGTGGTAGAGCACCTACTTTGCCAGTAACAAGGCCTGAGTTCAAACCCCAATACCATCCAAAAAAAATTTTTAAATCTGCTTTGTCAATGACAGTCAAAAGAACAAGAAGACAAGCTACAAATTAGAGGAAATATTTTGCAAAGACAAATTTATACAAAGTATAAAAATGTACAAATAGTTCTTAGAACTTAACAATAAGTATATGAACAGCTGATTAATAAAAGGGTAAAAGATTTGATAGACACCTCACTGAAGGTGTCAAGTAGGCATATGAAAGATGCTCAACAGCATCTATCATTAGAAATTGTGAATCAAAGCAACAATGAATCACCACTGCACAATGGCCAAAATTCAAAACACTGATAGCGTGAAATGATGGCCAGGTGAGTGACAAGACTCACTCATTGCTGGTGTGAATGTAAGATGGTATAGCCCCTTTGGAGAACAGTGTGACAGCTGTTTATAAAACTAAACATATTCTTACCATATGATCCAGCAATCACACTCTTTAGTATTTGACCAAATGAGTTCAACAGTTATGTGCATACAAAAACCTACACACAGATGTTCACAGCAGCTTTATTCATCATTACCAAAATGTGGAAGAAACCAAAATACATTTAATACATGAGAGGATAAATAAATGTTGGTACTTCTAGAGAAATATTATTCAATAATTTAAAGGAGGAGCTTTTGAGTCATGAAAAGATATGAGAGGACCCTAAATACAAGTTACTAAATTGTATAAGTCTGTCTTCCATTGTTGTAACAAAATACCCAAGGCTACAAAATCCCAGGCTAGGTAATGTACAAAGAAAAGAGGTTTATTTAGCACAGTTTTGGAAGTTCAGCAGCATGATGCTGATATGTGCTCAGCTCTGGTGAGGGTGCCCTTGGCTGTATCACATCACTGTATGTCATGTAGGGAATGCAGGTGGGAGGGAGGAGGGGAGATCATATGGTGAGTCATGAAGCCAGATGGTGATTCAGGGGTCAGCCTCACTTTTGTAACAACTCACTCTCAAGGGAACTCTCTTCTGAAAACCTATTGACCTCTTCCAAAGGAAGGGTCCCCAATGGCTTAATCACCTCCTAGACCCCACCTCTTAAAGGTCCATCATCTCTCAATACCTCTACACTGGGGACCAAGCTTCCAATACATGAACCTTTGAGGGTAAACCACATATAAAGAATAATGTAAGTGAAAGAAGCAAGTCTGAAAACGCTACACACTGTATGACATTCTGGAGAAAGCAAAACTATGGAGACAGCAAAAGCTTCAGTGGTTGTTAAGGGCTGGGGAAAAGCAGGATGAATAGGTAGAGCACAGAGGATTTGGGGGGCAGGGAAATAATTCTATATGATGCTGTGATGGTGGATCCATGTCATACATATGTCAAAACCCATAGAATGCAGAACACCAAGAACAAACCTCATATGAACCAAGGACTTTGGGTAATAATGATGTATCAATGTTGGTTCATCATTTGCAACAAGTGCACCACTCAGGTACATGAGTTTGATAGTAGAGGAGGCTGTGTATGTGGACTGGGAGGGAGTATATGGGAAACCTCTGTATCTTCTGCTCAATTTCCTTGTAAAGGTAAAACTTTTTCTCAAAAATGAAACCTACTTCTTAAGAAGCTCCAGTCAAGAAAGGAAGGGGAGAGAAAGAGAAGGAAAGGAAAGAGAAGAAAAGAAAAGAGGGGCTAGCAGAGCAACTCAAGTGTAGCTCAAGTGGTAGAGCACCTGCCTAGCAAGCACAAGGCCCTGAGTCCAAATCCCAAAAAAGAAAGAAAGAAAAGAAAAGAAAGTGCAGATTGATCAAATAGGGTTGATCCCAAGAATACAGGATAGGTCAATAACAGAAAAGTGTATCAGTATAATTTGTCACATTAATACTGAAAAAAAGGACACACTCTTACCAAAGGCAGACAAAAGTTGGTTAGAAAGTATTTAGGGCTTGAGATGTGGCTCAATGATAGAGCACCTATCTAGCAAGTATGAGGACCTGAATTCAAACTCCAGTACCACAAAAAAAAAAAAAAAAAAAAAGATTTAATTCAAAGACTGCAAGAAGGAGATATTTCAAGTGTGCACCTAATGAGATTATTTACATGGAACATTCAGCAAGGCCAGTAGACCAGTTATTAACGCTAACTGGAGAGTGTAGCAAGTTTGCAAGAAATTAGAACACAGAGATTGATAGAAAAAGAAATGAAAAAGAAAATGCTATTTAAATAGCCATCTAAGGATAAGAGCTGTCCAGAAATTAACCCAGCAAAGAGCATATAAAAACTTTAAGAAAAAATTTTTAAAACTCCATTAAAAAACACCACAGGAAGGCTGAGAAAGATGGTGTGCACCCTTGCTCCCAGCTACTCAGGAGGCAGAGGAAGAAGAATCTTGAGTTTGAGGCTAGCAGGGCAACACAGGTAACACAGCAAGAAAGTGTCTCAAACAAAAAAGGAAAGAAAAAGGTAACTAGGGAGATCTTTGGAAAGGCACTCCAGACTCACTGCCTAGGGATGCCAGTCTGCATACAGACCCCAGGGAAGTGTGGGGAATGGTAAGTCTTTGGGTGCTTGCCACACATGTGAGCATACACCTGCATGTATTTGTCCCAGAGTCACCCTGTTCGACAGATGGTTTTGGGAGCAGCAGCTGGACCCCTTATGCTAGTGTTTGGTGTGTGACACCTATTCCAAAGACCCCTGTGTTTTGCAGGCCTGCAATGAGTGGCTGCCCTGATTCTCTGACCCCACCGCCCACCCCCAGGCCACTCTCTCCCTGCCTTTAAAGAATACTCATCCCTAAATGCACAGCCTCCTCAGGCTCCAGCTTCACAGCAGCACGCACCAGCCTTCCACAGCACACCATTGTTCGGTGTTACTTTCCTGTTTATACTACTTTTTTCTTTATTAAATGGTGTTAAATAAAATAATAATAAAATAAAATAAATAAAATAGCATATGGATTTAAAAAAATTATTAGTGTAAATTAAATAAAAATAAAATTAATAAAAGAAAAAAAAGGGGTTTCATTGTGATATTTAAAACATGCATAAAATGGACCTTGATCAATTTAACCCCCCTGTATTACCACTCTTCCTGCTTCCTCAAAATAGCATATTTATGAATGGGACAACTTAACAATATAACAAGCTCACTTCCCCCTATGTTAAACTATAACTTTCATTTAATTACAATAAAAATAGCAGCTGGAATTTGGGGGTCTGACTAAATGATCTTAAAAGCCAAAAGAATAAAATTTCATAAATATTTAAGAACATTTTGAAAAAAAAGAGGAACAAAAAGAGAAGGGGACTTAATGGCCCAAATAGTCGGACATCACTAAGCCAAGTTATGTGCACAGTGTTTTCTTTGAAGAGGCTAGTCCAGACACAGACCCATAAATATATGGAACTTAGTGTCTGATAGAGATGGGATGCCAGATGTGATGACATCTGGAAAAATTAACTCGCTGTGTGGGAAAGAAATAATACAATAGAGCTGGAAATGTAGCTCAGTGGTAGAGTGCCAACCTAGCACAAGCAAGGCTCTGGGTCAGTCCCCAGCACTGCAGAAAACAATGATAATAATAGTGATAATAATAACATTAATATAGTCCCTTAAAAATAACCCTTTCAGCTGGACTTGGACTAAAAACTTAAATGTTAAAGGAAAAAAATTAAATCCAGTAGGAGAAAATGTAGCTGAATATGTTCATGATCCCAGAATGGAGGATTTTATAAGTAAGTCTCAAAATGCAGACACCACAGATAAATTCACTGATTTCAAAGTAGTTGCATATGTGAAAAAAAATGCACATAAAGCTATTAAAGGATTGAAAGAATAGAGCAAATAGTGTTAAAAATAATAAGCAATTAATACCTAAGATGTAAAAGCTATTTCCACCAATCACAGAAGGAGAAAACCAGTGAGAAGAGAAACTCAGCCTCATAAAAAATCAGAAAAAATGAAAATAAAACCGCAATAAATACCACTTTTTACACATACCAAATTAGCAAAAATTAGAAACTCAGAAATCTCAAGTGTTGGTAGAAGAATGAGAAAGCACATGCTACTCTTGTTATTATTGTTAGAGTGTTAACTAGCTATTCATTTTCCTCCCCTCCCCTTCTCTCGCCTCTCCTCCCTTCTCTTCCCTTCCCTTCCCTCCACTCTGGATCAAAACCAGGACCTCATGCACGTTAGGCAAATGCTCTACCATTGACCTACACCCACAACTCAACCAGTTACTTTAAGAGCTCAATCCATCAGTACTAAGTGAGTTTACTCTACTACCAAACAGTTCTGTGCACACATATCCATTAATGGTCTTGCATGGTGCACAAGAGGACTTATGAGAGAATGTTCACTGCACATGAACCTATGTTGGCCTAGTTGGAAGGAACCTTCTGCTGGTCACTTGGAAATGGACAAGGAAAGGTTAGGCAGCAATCCAAAGGACTTAGCTGGATTTCCATATAGTAGCAGGATGGATATATCCTAGAAATGTAAAGTCTAGAGGGAAAAAGTCAGAAAAAGCATTAGATTTACCTCTCAGTATGTTTCATGAAAATACAACACAGAAGCACAGAACTGCACTAATTTTCAAGGATACGTACATATCTAAGCAGACATATGGAAGATGGATTAGAAGGAAGCATGTTATATTCAGTAGAGTAGGCACTTCTGAGGATGCAGGGATGGAACATGAAGGGGAAAATAATTACACAAATGTTGGTACAAAGGGTCTCTGCACAAGTTGCTGATGCTGGTTCTCAAGACCTGAGAAGTGGGATCAACTTAAACCTGTGACCTGAATTCCTGAAAAAAGGATTGGTCCTTCCTGAAACTTGGCTGGAATGAGCTGCTGTAGCTTTCTGTCTTGATCCACTCTGATTTTTGTCCCTCCTCTTTTCCCCCATAAAGAGTCGTTGAACCCTCACCAGGTTTCCGCAAACTCAGAGGGCACAGACCACATTGTGGTGACCTGGCAGCATCCCAGGAAAGCTGACCTTGCTGTTCAGGAGTACATAGTGGAATGGTGGGCACTCCACCCAGAAGGCAGCACACAGCCGCTGCTAAACTGGCTGCGGCTCCCCGCCAACAATGTGTCATCTCTGATTTCAGGTATGTAATTGTTCATCACACTTCTAGAGGGCCATCAAGTTCACATTTGCTTGGGGACAGTGCAGGCAGAACCCTAAAGCCTTGCCTTCAATTGTAGGGGCTGCATTATAGTCTAGGGTCATGATGGGACTGTGCTTGACATACAGCCCCTCAAGACAGCGCTGCAGAATAATACTGCAGTCACGGAAGACAACTGGTTGACTAAAAAACCTAGTACTGTCAGGCACTGGTGGCTCATGCCTGAAATCTGAGCTATTTGGGAGGCTGAGATTGGCAGGATCATGCTTCAAGGTCAGCCCAGACAAACAGCACTCCACATTCCATCTCCAAAATAACCAGAGCAAAATGGACTGGAGGCGTGTCTCAAGCAGTAGAGTGCCTGCGTTGCAAGCGCAAAGCCCTAGGTTCAAACTCCGGTCTCACCAAAAAAATCTAGTACCTATGGAAAAACCATGTCCTGAGCACAGTGCCCAGCAAGATGAAAGAGTAATAGAGCCAAACAAGTAGGGCTGAGGCTAAGTTAGCCTATCAGTGCAATAGGTGACTTTACCTTTGGAAACTCATTTAACTCAAAACAACCATGTACATTAAGAGTCACTATTTTAGCCAGGAGCTGTGGCTCAAGCCTATATCCTCGCTACTTGGGAGGCTGAAATCAGGAGGATTGTAGTTCAGGGCCAGCACAGCCAAAAAGTTCTGGAGTCTCCATCTCAACCAATAGCTGGGCACAATGTTATATGCCTGTCATCCCAAGCTACACAAGAGGTTGAGATTAGAAGGATCATGGTTACAGGACAACCTCCAGGCAAAAAAGTTTGTGAGACCTCATCTTAATGGAAAAATGCTGGGTGTGGTGGCACATGCCTATCATCCCAGTGATGGCAAGGAGGCTTAAAATAGGAGGATCATGGTCCAAGCCAGCCTGGACAAAATGAGAGACCCTATCTTCAAAACAACCAGAACAAAAGGAACTGGAGATATATTTCAAGTGGTAGAGAACCTGTCTAGCAAGTGTAAAGCCATAAGTTCAAATGCCAGTACCACCAAAAAAAATTATTTTAAACTCATGACACAGCCAAGGAAAACCAGAAATCATTCATTCCTGAACTACTGACATTTGTGTGATAATAAATTAAGAGTTATCTGTATGATAATTGGTGTCACTGATCTTCAGGTTTGTAACATGTCAGTGGTTAGAATCAAGTGAGAGATGGCATCTGAAAATGTTAAAATGATTGGACAGAACTTAGTTAATATAATTTTAAGCATAAACTCAGCATAGCAGCTTAAAGGTCTGCAACCAGCCTACCCAAGTCTGCATCCTAACTCTGTCACTAATAGCTGTTCCATACAGGGCAAATTACTTCTGTGTCTCAGTTTCCTCATCTTAGAATTGAGGCTCGCATGACCTACGTCATCGGGTTATTGAGGGGACTAACTGAATTAATATGGAAAACATTTTGAACAGTGCCTGACATATTTTAAGTGCTCAATAATTTAGCTATGATATCACTATTATTAAATGTGTCAGAGCTAAGAAGTCAATAGATTTGCAAGTTCTAAATCCCATAATATTTTCATTACACCATGACAATCTTTACACCTGTCTAGGAGGATGTATACATCCTGCTTAAGGAGATAAGATTTACACAATAAGATAAACGGAGCATATGGTGTGTTGATACATAAGCTGGTCCTTAACTGTGTGCTTCCTCCATAGCCTAGCTGCCCAGACTTCTAGCAGGTTAAATTTTAATCACCACCCTTAAAGTGAATGCTGCCTAGATAACCAGCAAGCATCTGGAGGAAGGTGACCAAGTCATTGGGAGTCTAGAACTTTTTCATCTGGAAACCATTTAGCCTGTAGAAGAGAAATTTAGATGGGGGAGAGGGGAGGAGACACTGCTTGGTGTTGCTGGTTTTGACATGCATATGCAAAAGAATATAGTTCCTTTGCTGCCAGGAGAGGAAGACTAAGACCCCAAACAGAAATTATAAGAAGGCAGGTGTCAATTTTGAGAAGCAACTTTGATGGTCTCTAAAAGAACAATCGATTGCTTTCCCAAGCAACATCCTCATAGCTTTTGCAGTAGAGCTAATTTTCCTTCAAGGCGTTACACCCATCAAATCAGATGGAACAGTGGATAGAAAAAGCATTTACTAGCTGTGAAATTATAAACACTTATAAACTGTATCAGGACTTAGCCTATACGATAATATAGTTCCTATAGTTCCTTCCTTTTGGAAATCCTATAATTCCATACAAACACCACAGGACAGATGACAAGAGAGAATGTTTTCCACACTTAATAGAATAAAATGCATTAAAGCACTTTCTAATTACGCATTTGAATAAAATCAATATACTAATGACTTAAACTAACTTTATTAAGGTTGCTTTTCTGCTTGGAAACACTTGGTTAGCTATCAGTTTATGTTCACGTTGCATTCTGGAGATAAAAACTTGAAAAATTAGGTAGTTCATCCTTACTATGAATTCAAAATGGCACTGTCTGGTCAGCAAGATCCATCGTTGCCATTAGATCCTCGCCAGTCTGCTCCCAGTCTCTGGTTGGGCCAGAGCACACCCCAATTTGTAGACTGTAGATCAGTGGGCTTGAGCTAAAGACTACCAGTCCAACCGTGCCTGGATGAAGACACTTCTGACCATACAGAGCCATTCCTTCTACAAATAGATCATATCACTGTGTCTAGAAAAGCTTTCTTGATGCCTGGACTACTTCAGACTCTCCTGCATACTGTCCTCAGTACCTCTAGGATTACTTCTTGTTACTCATTATGGGATATTTGCCTTCTCCCACACTTGAGAATGAAATTAGCTTCCTGCCTAAAAGTTCGTTTAGGAACATGGAGACAGGGCCTTTGCCCAAGGGTGCGGGGATATATGTAGGCACGGGAATGGTGGGAAATGAGCCTGGAAATTGGGGTCACACTGTAGAAAGGAAATGAAAGTCTTAGGAGTGTGAACTTCTTCCACTTAAGGTTCTTAAGGTGGCAAGCAGACACAATTAAGGAATGTTCATACAGAACGATCCAGAACAATTGGAGCCCTTAAGGTCAGAACCAGAGAACGAGTCTGCTAGGGAGGCTCTCTTCTTGGGAAGAAGAAATGTCAGCTGAGTTACAAAACCACATAGCTTCCATCCCCTACAAAGGGTGGGCCATCCACAGGAAGAGATCCACTGTTTCTGATGCAGCAGTCTCAACACCTGTGCCCTGAACTCACATTTTGCAGCGCAGAATGCAATGGAACCACCTGCCTATTTAAGGTCATCTGGAACTCCCAGGCTGCCACATGGCACAGTGGGGTTGGCTCCTCCCAAGACTAGGGACAGTCAGGCACTGGGAGCAGAAAACCACTTACCAGACCTTCACAAATGAAATCTGAATCCATATTGTGTTAACCTTTGAACTTTATGACCTGATGCCATCCACGAGGAATCTGTGGATCACAGGACTAAGTTGACAGGTGTTCTTTTCTCCTTTTCATTTGGTTCATGAACTTGAATTGGACCTCTCCCATGGTGTGCATTTGATGATCTTGTCATGGTCTCTTCTGACAGGATTGGTTGCACGACTGAACTTTATACACTGCCCACTTGCTGGCATATTTAAGAGACAGTGGATTTTCATTCAGCACACACATAATTCAGTAAATTTTTCTGTGCTATAAAATTCCTCTTCCCCTCAAAGGAAGATACTAAACCCTCGTTGATTGTCAGAGTAGGGAACCCTAGTGACCTACTGGCAGGACATTAGTAATACTTAATCATCTGATGCTAGTTACCTAGCATAGTTCTCTCTCTCGTTCCTTTAAGACTGCATTTGGAATTTCAAGATGCGTCATGAGCAGTAGGTACGAGAAGAGCCTTTTCTTCGTAGGCAGTAGAAATGTGAGATTCATGGAAATGAGGAGTTTGGGCAGGGAAGGGGAACTTGCCAATAAGCTTCATGACTGACAGAAAATTGCAAAGTGTGGCATTTTAAAAGCTCAGAAGGAGCATTAACATTCCTGGGAATCATCCAAACCTTCAGGCTGTGAAGCAACCAAGATCTAGCTGGAGCCAGCTAGAGAGAGGAGAGGCAGGAACCAGGGGTTGGATTGTACTGGGAGTGCCCCGTTAGTTACAATCCAAGGTGTCATCCTTGTGGCCCTGTCAGAGCTGCAGAACTCCAGAGTCATTCCTTATAAACACATGATTTATTTGTAGAAGTTGAATTTTTTTTCTTAAAGATTAGTTGTTTGTTGTCTAGTTTTCCCCCCGAAAAAGCAGTGTGTGCATGCGTTTGGGTGGATATGCTTACATCCTTGTTAGTACTTGAATGGCTTTTATCTCCAACTCACGTGAACTGGTCAGCTCATCTCACTGTGAAAGTTGGAGGCAGTGACTTCCAGAAGTTGGTATCATGGCTGATGGGATGCTGAGACTTTGTAACTTGGGCCACCCTTTATTCTCAGTCCAGGTTGTTCTTGAATCATCCTCAAAATAAGAAAAGGCAAGACATGCCTTGGGAGCAGATATTAAAAGAGCTCCCTGGCTGGGTACCAGTGACCCATGCCTATAATTCCAGCTACTTGGGAGGCTGAGATCAGGAGGATTGTGGTTTGAGGTCAGCCCAGGCAAAACCTTCTTGAGACCCCATCTCAACCAATAACAGGGTGTGGTGGCACAAACCTGTCATTCCAGCTACAGCAGGAAACCTAAAATGGGCAGATGGCAGCCTAGGCAGGTCTGAGCAAAAAACGAGACCCTATCTCCAAAATAACCAGAGCAAAAAGGGCTGGAGGTATAGCTCAAGTGATAGACCACCCGCCTATGGTATCCTAGTACCACTAAAAAAATACATAATAATAAAAAATAAACAATAAGATGGCTCCTGGTAGTGACTCAACAGGCACACCTGTTCAAGAGCTCCTTTTCCTTGCAGAGAATATAAAACCCTACATCTGTTACAAAATCCGTGTGCATGCGCTGTCAGGGGACCAAGGAGGGTGCAGCTCCATCCAAGGTGGCTCCAAGCACAAAGGTGAGCTGGGACCTTTCACCACATTTCCTCTTCTGCTGGTGATTCAGACTTAGAGCGTAACAGATCCTGCCTGTGCCCTTCCTTCCAGCACCACTGAGTGGCCCCCACATCATTGCCATCACAGAGGAAGAGGGGAGCGTCTTCATTTCCTGGAACCACATCCCAGTCCAGGAGCAAATGGGCTGCATCCTCCATTACAGGATATTCTGGAAAGCACGAGGTTCCACTTCCCAGCCTGGGCTCCGTGGTACGTGTGAGAATGAAGTACCCTGGGGCCTCTTTGTTGGATGTCGGGAAAACCGAGGCTGTACATGTGCATGTCCACACACAGCTGCCCACATAGCACTAACAAAGGACTGCATAAACATTTGTGAGATGACCTGAATGAAGAAAAATTAAAGACCCCTCCACACACACATGCAGAGTTACCGAATATGTGTGATGTGCCAAGCATATTGCTAAGGATACAGAAATGAATTAAAATAGATTAGGCCTACTCAGAGGAAGAGACAGAGTTCCAAAAAGCAATGAAGGCCTAGGCATGGTGGTGCACACCTGTAATCCCAGCACCCAGGAGGCTGAAGCAGAAAGACCTTGAGTTTGAGGCTGGCCTGAGCTACATAGTGAGGCCCTGCCTCAAAAAAATAAAAATAATAAAAAGATCAATGAAGACACTCAGTGCCAACTCTATAGACCCTTTATGTTTGTAAGGCGCACATTTAGAGAACGATAAAATCTCTACATTACCATTTATTGTCATGGTATTATTTTCTCCTTAAGATGGACAAAATACAATACAGTTTAAGTAACCTCTTTATGACCTATAACTATTTCATAACTCTAAACCCAAAACAATTAAAGCAAATTCTGGCTGGAGCATTAGCTCCAGTGATTTCACGAATCACTCAGTCATGTAACAACTCTGGAGATCACTTGTGAGAGCTAAGGTTCCAATCTTTCATTTAATCAGAGCTGCCTTTTTCTTGGCTTGACCTTCTCTTTATTTCATAAGCAATTGGCTTTCTTTCAGGAGCATTTATCATAATGAAGGACATTTTTATTCTTTCATGAGAGTTACTAGACCCAAGAAAAATGTAACAGAGCCACCCCGAGATGCTGACTCCAGAGTGCTGCCTGTAGAAGTACTTTTTATCTGGGAAACCTTTTTTATTTGTTTTTGGTAGTACTAGGGTGTGAACTCAGGGCCTTACCCTTGCTAGGTAGGTGCTCTACCACTTTAGCAACTTTCCAACTCTTTTTGCTTTAGGTATTTTTCCAGTAGGTTCTCAACTTTATGCCCAGTCTGGCCTGGATGAGATCCTCTATTTATGCTTGCCTCCAAAGCTGGGATGACAGGTACTCACTGACATGCCCAACTTTTTATTGGTTGAGATGAGGTCTCTTGGATTTTTTGCCCAGGCTGGCCTGGAACCTCAGTCCTTCTGATCTCTGCCTCCTGAGTAGCTAGGACTAGAGGCATAAGCCACCACTCCAGCTTTACCTGAGAAACTTTAATAGTTTGTCTTCTCTCTCAAACTTAGGACATTAACTTGTTTGTCTAAAAGTAATGTCTTTCAAAGTTAGTTAATTTTTATTATATAAATAATACTTGCATTTGGTAAAAACATATTTCAAGTTCCAAAAGATTTAAAGTGAAAATTCTCCCTTTCTTCATGCTTATGCTGTCAGCAATTCTCTGTGTGTTCTTCCAGGAAAAAAAATTAATGCATATACAAGAATATATTCAGAATCTTGCTGGGCACCAGTGACTACACCTGTAATCCTAGCTACTCAGGAGGTGGAGATCAGGAAGATCATGGTTCAAGGCCAGGCTGGGCAAATAGTTCATGAGACCCCATCTCAACAGGAAAAGCCAGGCCTGGTGGTGTATATCTGTCATCCCAGCTACATGGGAAGCATAAATAGGAGGATTGTGTTCTGGGCCAGCCTGGGCAAGAAGCAAGACCCTATCTGAAAATAACCAGAGCAAAAAAGGCTGGAGGTATGGCACAAGTAGTAGAGTACCTAGCAAGTGCAAAGCCCTGAATTCAAACCCTGGTACTGCCAAAAGAGAAAAAAAGAATCTTTTTCTATATTCTGACCTACACTTGCTTTACCACTCAATAATATACTCTAGAGATCTTTCACATCAGTTCATGTGGATTTGTCTCATTCCTTTTTAACAGCTCCATAGTATTCCATTATAAAGTCTTACAGTCATTTGTGTAACTAATCCAGAACAGAACACTGAGTAGAATTATGCCCACTAGGCTTGTCAACAGAAGTCAGTTCTGAAATGCACCCCAAGGGATGATGAATCACTTGACCTCTTCATGGCCATTTGGAATTCTTCATTTGACATTTGCCCCCCCCACCAGGTAATTTTCATTTTGGCAAAAATTTTAAAGTGAGATGTCTGTTTACTACTAGAAAGATAAACGCAGTCAGTTGGTTCTAAAAGCTGTTCTTATAACTGTTGAAGAAAATCCCTACTTTATTTTACTACTGAGCTCTCTGAAGATAGGGAATGGGGCTTATTCATCGTTAAGTACTTACTGAATTACAAGAAAATGTAGACTAAACTAGTATGACTTAGGACTCTGAATTCATGCCCCTGTCTTCTTTTAACTTACTTTAATGTAGCCTCAGTAGGCTTTAGAGGCAGCAGTGCTAAGGCACATGCAGGTGTTAGGACCAAAAGGCAAAGGGCCCCAGCCCTGTCTGGGCAGGAGAGGTGAGGTGAAGACCAGTCAGTCCCATGGATGATTCCAGAGCCCAGCCTCTCCTCTGGATGACAGTTGTAACACCAGTGTTCCACACTCCCTCCTGGAGGCCATGCTATGCTTTGTTCCCACCCAGTTGTCTTTGGCAACAGAGTCAGCAGAAACCATGGTATCTAGAATACAGCCAGGTATTCAGTAAGTACTTAATAAACCTGGTATTTGTTGAATGACGAATGGGTGACCACTGCCCTACTTCCTGTTCAAGCCAATGGAGATCCTCAGTGGAAATGCCTCTGCAGTAACACTGCAGCTATTCTGCCTAGTCCACTTGACCTTCCTACCCTCAACCTTTCAGATGGTGGGCAACTTCCATGTCTTCCTAAACTGCTGCTTTTATCAGAAGCCACCTGAATCTAAAATTTCACCCTGCCTAGGTCTGAATGGCTCCCTTTATCTCTGCTGGGATCATAGCTGGGAGGCAGCAGGACCAGTCTTTCCTGCTTGACTTCTTTCTCCCATTACAAACTCAGCCTGTTTTGCTGACTCCACCATGTCCCCCCACCCACCACCACCACCACCACCACCACCACCAGAACTGCTATTTTTGGTCTTCAAATCTATGCCCAGCAACCCATTCAAACCCCTTCCTTTCTGTCCTGGGCTCAGGACACCCTCCCACAGCTGGACATTGGACTCTCTGGTGCCCACTGATGTTTTCCTGCAGTAAGATGAGCAGCAGCTCTTTCTAAAATTAATTTTTAATCCCCTGTTTTAGAATAGGGAAAGGTTTTTCTGTTTTGTTTTGGTTTTTTTGAGCTCAGTCATATGGCTCAAGTCTATGCAAGCAATTTCACCAGGCTAGAGGAGACTTGGGAATTTTCCACAAGATTCTTTTTCTCAACAGGATGAAAAATATAAAATTGCTCTGATAGTCACAGCTGTGAAATGATCTGCTCAGGCCTCAGCCCTTTCGAGTGGGTGGAGTAGAAGGAACACCCCCCCAGGGCTCCATCTTGCTAGCTACCCATAATAAGCAGAGACAAAATAGCAAGAGGGATCTGTTACACTTGGGGAGCCCTTAGAGAAAGACTCTGCGCCTTTGTACATCCAGTGCCTGTCCAGCACCAGGAGTCAGCAAGTATCTGTGACTACTAGAAATAAGGTCGGCTTGCCCAGGGGTCTGTGACCCAGTTTTGAGGCTGAGAAAGAGTGCTGAGTTCTAGTTTCTAATCTCGTCACCAGCATAGGCCCAGGCCATCTGAGTGGGATAGCATTCGCTATTGCTCAAATTAGTCTTCCCCAGTTTGTTTTTTTGAGATGTGGGGGTCTCACTGTGTAGTCCAGCTGGTCTCTAGCCTCAGCCTTCTTAAGGTTACAGGCTGGTACCACCATGCCCAGCTTACCTCCCTTTATTTTTTTGGCAGTACTGGGGTTTGAATTCAGGGTTTCATACTTTCAAGGTAGGCAGCTCTACAACTTGAGCCATGCCTTCAGTTCCTTTTGTCCTGGTTATTTTGGAGATAGAGTCTCTCTATTTGCCCAGGCCAGGCTGGCGCACAATTCTCCAATTTTCCATTTTCTACTGTAGTTGGGATGACAGACCTATGCCACTACACCCAACTACTGGTTGAGATGGGAGCTCCATGACTTTTATGCCCAGGCTGGCCTCCAGTTGCAATACTTCTGATCTCAGCTCCCAAATAGCAAAGATTATAGACATAAGCCACTGGCACCTGCCTCCTCCACAGCTTTTGAGAGGTCATCCCAACATTACATCCAGAATACTGGAAGCAAAGACTGCCTGTTCGCAATGAGACTACCAATACTCCTGCTTCTTGGAGGAGAAAAACAACATTGGTATATTGCTCAGAAACGTCTTCCCTGCAGAGAAAATACAGGGTGTTAACTTAAAGTACTGGAAATCTAGACTTAAGGCTGCAACACAAATCTCATCTCAGTATCATCACTCTGGGTTTAATGGCTTTATGTCAAATTGAAGCAGACCATAACGTTAAGGCCTATAAGTTCAGGACCCAGAGCCTACAGAAAGAAAAGAGCAAAACCACAATTTTAAAATGTTTAATAAATGTCTATTTCATTAATTGCTAAATTTAGCTTTTTCAAGAATCCACTACCTTGAAAACAATTTGTACACTTAATTTCCTCCTCAAGAATTCTCAAATATACTTAATATGTTATAATCATAGAAAACAAAAGGAATTGCCACAGGTAAATAATTTCAAAGGCAAAATGACACGAAATTCTTTCAGAAGAAATACTTGCAGTGAATATATGCAGGAGGACCTCTGCAAATGACAGAGTGAGGGCCTACATACTGATGAATTAAGACTGTTCTAAATTGTGACGTGCCTGTTACGCTTTCTAATTAAATGAAGCATCAACAAATATGAAGGAATGAAAGCCTACATTTAACCACTTCCTTTAATACTTTCTTCCTTTCAGAAATTCCCTATAGACTCTCCCAAAATTCATACCCAATAAACAGCCTTCATCCCAAAGTGACGTATGTCCTATGGATGACAGCTTTGACAGCAGCTGGTGAAGGTCCCCAAGGAAATGAAAGGGAATTCTGTCTACAAGGTAAGAGGTGACTTTTAAGGTAACAAGTCTACCTTGGATTCCACACCCACTACATGTGGCATGGAGGTGATCAAATTGTCCTTAAGTAACTACTCTCTTGCTGCCACAACTTTGTACTTGCTGTTCCTTCTACCTGCAGAGCCCTCCCACTTCACTGTCTTCTTGAAAACAGTGTCAACTTATTTTTCAAAACTGAGCAGAAATGGTTCCTCCTCCAAGAAGCCTTCCCAAATGCACCTCTATCTTCTCTTCATAATACACCATGTTTGATCTGTACTCAAAACCCTGCGCCAACTAGGCAGGGACCAGTATCTGCTTGTCTTTAAGGCTTAGAAAGCTGCTCAGTATATAGTGCTCACTCACTAAATATCCATTCAAAGAACAATGTAGTAACCATAAGATCAGGGTGTCTGCAGTATTGGTTCCTTCTGAGGCTATAGAGGGAATCTATTCCATGCCTCTCCTAGCTTCTCAAAGTTAGCATACAATCATGGACCTTTCTTGGCTTTCCCTGCTTTCATGTGGCATGGTCCTTGTGCCCACCATTCCTCCTTGTTATAAAGATACAAGTCATTTGAGATTAGGGGCCCATTCTACTCCAGTATGACTATTTTAACCGATTATATCTGCAATGACCCTATTCTTAAGTAAGGTCACATTCTTAAGTACTTGGGGCAAAGACGTCAGCATATGAATTTTGACGGAAGACAGTTCAACCATAAACCCTACTTTGGCTAATTTATCCTTTCCAAAAGTATATGGATCTACCTGGCCTATACTATACTATACTCTCTCTGTGTGTGTATATATATATATACACACACAGACATATACTGTATATACATATACATATATAGTATACTGGCCTATACTGTACTCAATATGAAATGAATAAAGAATGAGGGATTAGCATACCTTTGTCCTAGTAAGAGAACTAGAATACAAAAACAGTACCCAGCATTCTAAAGGTCCACTTACCAGTGGCAAAGCTACCAACCCAATGCAGATCTGAGCTACTCAAGTTCAATCTCAGCATACGAGTAAGTGATGCAGCTGACACGGGTTCCTCTCCATCAGCCATGTTACACTGCTCTCTTTGGTAACACTTGTTTGCATCTGCTCTAAGCATAAAACAAGCTGTTCTTGCTTTGTGACATGTAGTATAGAATTAATCATTTAGGGCTTTGTTGTTCTATGCCAGGAAACTCCACTGGGAAGGTTCACAAGCCCTCTTCTCATTTCCCCAAATCTCCCCTGAAAGCTAACTCAGGCAGGACTCATGTGGACTAAAGACACTGCATCATCCCATCTGTGGTTTCTCCAAACTTGTTCCATCTGTCCAGGACAGAAAGCAAATGCTGAAGCAATGTCATGGGGTGGAGAAAAGGTTGCCTCCATTAAGTCACCTGCTCAGCCCTGTTAGCACCCCCATCATGGGGGCCTACTAGGTCTCTACCTCTATCTTCTGCCCCTCCTCCCTCCCAACCTGCCCTTCATTCAATCAGAAGAATCTTTCTGTAAGAAACTCACCTCTCATACTAACCACACTGACATTCCATTTTTCCTTTTTTTTTTGAGACAGGGAATTGTAATATAGCCCAGACTGGTCTCAAATTTGCAATCCTCCTGCCTCAGTCTTCTGAATGCTTGGATTACAGGCCACATCTGGCTACATTCCATCTCTTGATGTAACTCTTCCATAGTGCTCCAGGAATCTTCAGGCTAGAATTCAGAATTCTTAGCTACCAAACTCTGCATAGTGCTTTTATCTGTCTAGCTTTATTCTTTCCCATGTACCTCATCATTTGTGTGCTAAAGCAAGATTTGGCTTCCTGCAACTGCCTGAAAGTGCTACACTCTTCCCTCCTTCCAAGTCTTTGCATACACAGTTCTTGATCTGGCCTGCTATTCCTTAATTTGTCTACTTAGCTGACTCTTATGCATCCTTTAACTTTATTTTTTTGTTTCTCAGTGCTGGGGCTGCAACCCAGGGCACTGTATATACTAGGCAAGCATTCCACCACTGAGCTCCATCCCCAGTCCTTCCTTCTCCAAATCTGAACTTTTGACATCATGCCTTTTTTGAAACCTTCTTCAGCTACCCATGAGGCAGTGGCCCAGCTGTTTTGTGCTATACTGCCCATGAATACTGTACATGCCTGTTTTTACCTGTAGCCCATGGGGTAGCCATGGCTTATCACCTACTGTTAACACATCTGTCTCCTGCACTGCCTTTCATGACTTAAGAGGAAAGCCCATGTCCTGTTCATCTTTGTATCTCAGCACCTAACAGGGCCTGGTCCATGGTTAATACTTACGAAGTACTGGATCAATAAATGAAGAAGTCCAACAAGCAGTGAAATGCTCTAGTTTTTGTCATAGGAAAGACTAGGCATGATTTCAAAGGCTCTGCCTAGACAAATTCATCCCATGGTTTGGTAAGATTAATAGCTACCATTTCTCGGAGGCCTCCTCTATTCAGATACACAGCCATGTGTAAGCACACCATCTCTAATCTTCATAGCAACCTGCAAGTCACATGTCATCATTCACATTTTACGGATAAAGAAATCAAGGTCCGCAGATCCCATATCTATCAAGGACAAGCTGTGACTGTAACTCGGAGCTCATAATTTGTGCCTGTGAGAAGGGGACTCCTTGTAGGGCTGGAGCTCCTCTTGGAGTCACTGAATTTGCCCCACAGAGCCTTTCTTTCTAACTGTGTGAACAAAAATGGTTTGGCCTTCTTCCTGAGTCCAGGCATCGTGGATAGGCCCAAGAGCATTCACAAAGCAGTCAGAATTTTGAAATGTTCACTAACGATAACTCAGTAACAGGATTTGCTCACTTTTCAGGTGAAGCCAATTGGAAAGCATTTGTGACACCAAGCATTTGTTTCGCTGTCATCATGGTGGGCATTTTCTCAGTACGTTACTTCCGGCAAAAGTGAGTTGGTTACACCTGCAAATTTGGTAATTATATTTATAAAAAAAACCATAATAGCTATTGCTGCTGTGTATCAAGTGAGTAGACACACTCATGCATCACTGGTGGAAGGATAAATTTATTCAGCCTTTTTTGCATGACAGTATAGGTCAAACTATTAAAAAGTGTAACTTAGATGCAACAATTCCTAACTAGAAAATTATTCTAAGTATATCATAGATATATTCAGATATTTAGTGGGGAATATACTTACTGAAGTTTTGCTCATAAAGAAAATATTTGAAACAACCTAAATGTGCAGTGAATGGGATTGGTTAACTAAATCACCATATATCTCATAATATAACACATTATACATCCATTAAAGATGATGTAGAAGAAAATTAAATGCTATGAATAATTGCTATATAGCATTTTAAGAAGGTTACAATACATATTTTCATTTCTTAGAAATAGCATTTACACACATACATATGCAAGATGTATCATTTTGTTATCTATAATATAAAAGCCAAAATAAAAAACTTCAACTATCTAATAGTCTCTAACCTGGGAAAAAAGAAGTCATAAAAGGGGCTGCTGTGGTGGCTCCATAGTCATCTGGGAATAGGCTCCTTCTATTTTTCTGATTCACTATCCTGACATGTCTTCCATTCTTAAGTTCACCTCATGGTTCCATGGCTGCAGGAACTCCAGCCATCATATCGACATTGTACAACCACAGGAGGAAAGAAGGGAGGTGACCCTACTTCCCTTTTAAGAGCCTTGAAGAAGTTACATCAGACACTTTTGGTAACATCTCATTGAATAGAATTTGGTGAGGCAAGTGAGATTTTAAAACTGTGATCTTTTAGTTGGGTTCACTATCATCCCAATAAATCAGGATCCTCTTCCTAGGAAACAGGGAAAGTAGATATTGGGCAGAAATTAACAATCTCTGCCCCAAAGATCCAAAGGTATACAACACAATGTTAATGGTGGTTACATATGTCATAAGTGATTTTAGGGTTTTTTTTCTTATTTATATTTTTCTAACATTTCTTTAAAAAACACATTATTTCACAAAGGAGAAACTTAATTATTTCATTTTTCAATACAAATCTTTCTTCAAATGCAAGAAAATGATAGGTCAAAGTAAAAGCAGCTCAAAGTTATTCTACCATCCACTGAATTTGTCTGACAGGTTTTGTATTTATTGGAGATCCAATATGTGATACAAACTTCAAAGCAGATCTCTCTTTGGGTAGACTTTGAAAAGTTTAACTCAGGTGTCAGCTAGGATCACAAGCACCCTATGGAAATGGTGAGTCAGGGTGAGGTCTAACCTGCTGTTGAGAAAAAAAAAAAAAAAGGACCCAAAATATAGTGGGTTCAACAAAACAGATTTTTCCCTCCACATAATAGTACTGAGGTAAGGTATCCAGGTTGGGGGCAGCTGTGCTCCACAGTCATTTAGGGACTTAATTTTCCTCCATCTTATTGGCCAGTGATTCCTTGGCCATTGTCCTCATCTGCATGATCTGTACCAAACCACAGATACCTGTGTCCTCTTTCTTTGGAGAAAAACACATTTCTTTGTATCACGTAACACATTTCCTACTGCCAAAGGTTAATCAAATTACAGAAGCTTACCTTTCATAATCAAAACTTACTAAAGCCAAGTCTTCTAAAATGTTTCATATTGCTCTTTTAAGTAGGCAAAATATTTAGTCATATGTATTTTTTGGGGGGTGGGACTGGGGTTTGAAGTCAGGGCCTTGCACTTGCTAGGCATGTACTTTACGTACCCCCCCTAGTCACACCCTCAGCCAATCATAGGCATTTAGAAGAAAAAATTTTGGATTATTTTTCTTCCCACATCATAAAGACAAATATTTCCTTTGATCACCAAATAGGAGCACTGTTAACAGTTCAGATATTTCCCTTTAATACTTTTCTCTTGGCGGGGTTTTTTGTTGTTGTTGTTTTGGTGGGGATAGGGTTTGAACTCAAGGCTCTGTACTTACAAAGCAGGCGCTCTACCACTTGAGCCACATTTCTGGTCCATTTTGCTTTGGTTATTTTGGAGATGGGGGTCTTGGGAACTATTTCCCCCTGCTGGTCTGGAACCTTGATCTCCCAATCTCAGCTTCCCAAGTAAATAGGATTACAGGCCTGAATCATGAGTGCTAGGCTTCTTGGCCTTGTTTAAAGCATGGTTATGTTCAAACTATTCATACCATTTTGTATCTTGTTTTTTTTTTTTTTTTGTAACTTTTAGCATATAATTTGTCAGCCATTACAACCTCTTTGTAAACATGCTAATTAGCTCAGTAGTAAGCTCCCCAAGGGTACAAACCATGTCTTCTGGTTTGCTGTTCTATCCCCAGCATGTGGCACTGTGCTGGTCACATATTTAGGGGTTTAATCAATATTTGTTGTATGAATGTACGGTTGGAAAGAGATAGATTGCTAAAAATTACATTGAGTAAAAATTCTAGGATTTATTTAGCAAACCAGAAGTGGCTAGATTATGACTCATTATCATCAATCCAAATGTCACAGGAAAGGACTCCAGCCAGCATCGTCTTTTTCAGGGTTTGTATTTTGGTCTTCACACACAAAAGCAGCTCCCTCACTGCAATCACTGCTGGAAGAACCTGTGCTTCTAGGCCACTATGTGCACATTTAACCAAATGTCATTGTTTTTTATCTGTAGGGCATTTGTTCTTCTATCAGCCCTCAGACCTCAGTGGTGTAGCAGAGAAATTCCAGACCCAGCAAACAGCACTTGGGCCAAGAAATACCCCATGGTGGAGGTAAGGTACAGAGCCTCAGTGGCAGTCAGTGGGGTGCTAGTGATGAGCACATCTAAGGTTCCTATTGCAGTTACAAGATAACCTGGGGCTGAAACCTATGAATAAGCTGATGTCAATCAGGCTGAATGACTCATGAGTCATTGCTTTCCATTTTCTTCCTGGACTCATAGCAACCCATGTACTGGAACTTCTGAAGCTTATGATCAAAGACTAAAAGACTCACAGTGCTTCATTCCTCTATAGTCCTCCCATTCCTCTCCACACCTCATTTCAAAAGAGGAAAGCAAGCATTTTTGCCAATTGCTGCACACTAGCCTTAAGCATTAAACTCATCCAAATTCAAGATAATTGAAGCTTTTGACTTTCCCAATCCTGTGTGAATGTAGAACAGATAAATAAAAGCAACACTATTTTGGATTTGGCAGGAAGCCAGTAAGTCACTTCACTGTGCAAAGCAAAGGCTTTAAAGAAGAGGGTACTCAGCTGGCAGAGGGGAGAGCAGAGAGAGATGGGAAGCAAACAGGGCTGCACTGATCAAGGGAGGGGTGAGACCAGCTCATGGTGGGCAGGATGGGCCATCCCCAGGCAGGGTCTGGAAGCTGAAGGCTTTCTGAGTTATGGTCCAAGTCTCCTTCCTATTGCCCCAGGCCTTGGCAGCCCCCAGATCCCCTTACTCAGCCCTTACTGCCCATTTCCAAGATTACTCTCTTGCATTACCCAGTGCCTCTACTGGGTAATTCATCCGCATCCTTCTTTGGCTGGAAGCCAGTGACCTAGCCTCTGCTTAGTAAAGATGATCCTAGTTGCCTCTGCTTTAGAACTGCAGTCCCTGCAGATGTGTGCCCTTGGAGTTGGGCCTGTGGCCAACGATGCCTCTGCGCTTCTATGTGTGACCCTTACGCAACTTGCCCTGCTCTCTGAGTCCTCCATATGGCAGGAACGAACAACAGCTCCTTTGGATACTGCCACAGGCATTAAGTGTAAGATGCCATGTGAAGCACGTGGGTCATACAAGGCAAAGACCATTCACTTTCTTCCCAGGAAGACCCATATTTCAAGACTACTCTGTACTGAGGGATTTTGTCCCTGTTAAGCTATAACAGCTAGAATACTGATAATGACAGAAGTCTGCATAATCTATGCTATATGTTATGTTAATATGGTATACAATTATAGTATATAATGTATTATATTCATTATTAAGCTTACAGCATGTGTATATGCATAATATTATATATTATTTTCTATGTATATGTATATAATATGTATATATGCTACTTTCTATGTGATAGGCACTTTTAAAACATTTCATATATTAACATTTAATCCATGCAATAGTCATAAGAGGTTGTGCATTATTATTCTTATACTTCAGATGAGGAAACTGAGGTACAGAGGGCCAAGAAACTTGCTCAACATCAGTCAGGTGTGAATGGTGGACAGGATTCACAACCAAGCAGATGTGTTACCCATCATCACACTACACATTCCAACAGACCTTAAGCAAAGGGTGAGGAGTATTTCTAGTGGTCTACACCTCTGAATAGAACAGATTCACCATAGAGGTGTTCATACATTAGCCCTCACTTGGTAACAATATTGTGATGACCTCAGGGAATACTTCACAAACCCAAGGCCTTAGAAGATGCCATTACTGGTGTTAGAGGGGATTTAAATACCAGGAATTGAACCAGCTGGAGGTCTCTTCCAATGCTGAGATCCCACTGATAGAGCAGTGGGAAGCAGCTCTGGGAGAGGTGTGGACACCAGGCTTAAAACTACTTCATGATGCTTTGGCATCATGAGCTCTGCCTGCCTCTCCCTGGGAGGTACAGAGACAGCCAGAGCCACAAGCCTAGGAGAAATGCTTAGAAAGAAGCACCAAAGGTTAGACAGTAAGACAGGAAGAATGTGATGGAAATTTGCAGGCACGTGCCCTAAATCATATATACATTCATTGCAGCATTATAAGCAAAGCAAAACATGGAGCCATCATGTAAAGTCCACTCAGATACATCCACACAACAGGATTTTTGTAACTACCAAAAAGAAGTGAGATAGAACCCTATGTGCCTAAAGATCTTCAACTTAAAAGCAAAGTTTAAGCCAAATGTACCTATAACCCCAGCACTCACGAGACTGGGGCAGGAGGACGGTGAGTAGGAGGCCAGCCAGGCTATATAATGAGATTTCATCTCAAAAACAAAACAAACAAAAAGGAACAAAGTTTATAACAATTGTTGAAAGTAGGTTTTCATTTGCATGAGGAGAGAGATTTCATACACATCCATACATGTGCACATGTGCTCAGGACTTTTCCAGATGCCTGCATAGGATGCATAGAAAATCCCACTATTGGTGGTTGCCTCTGGAGAGAAGGTTGGGGATATAAAAACCACTTGATTTTCATTAAATATTCATTTTGAACTTAAAAAATTATAAATTATGTATATATATTTATTTTGCAAAAATAACCAATGAATTAGAAAATTTTAAAAACTTAAGTAGCTTAAACGTGGCCTCAGGATGAAGGCCTGGAAACAGCCTCACAACCCCATGTGGCTTAACCCTTGGACACTGTTTTTAAAGACTCAAATTGCCTTCCTGGTGTTTGGCTGAGGCAGACAGCAGAAGTACAAGACAGCCCTTCACTGCCAGCAAAATGTGCTTTGAGCACTCAGGCCTTACCCCTCTATCATTTCCTAAGATGTGGCTGAAGAACCATGTGACTGAACGCTCCGAAAGAAAAGGCCAAATTGTAAACCAGGATCAGTGGGCTGTTATCCAGCTTGTAAAAGCTTAAAATAGTGTCAGTGAGGTTCCTGAGCCAACAGGGTGGAAGCGACCTGCCCCCAGGGCTTCCCAAGGGCCTGCTAGTGAGCATTCTGAGGAACAATCTCTTAGTGTTGCCAAAGCTTTAATGGAGGCAGAAGACACCTCACCTTGTGAAAACACCCGCCCTTTCCACACACTGTGTGACTGCACCCATATTGATGGTAGTAGTGTTTGACAGCTTAGCTTCTCACAGCCGCCAGCTATGTTCCAAGCCAGGTCCACATACCAGGGCCAGTTTGGATAGTGATCAAAGAGGAGCAGACTTCCAAAAGAGAAACACCCGTCCCCCTTCCCCTTCCAGGAAGCCTGACAACACCATCACTTACTTTCTTGACACTTGCCATGCCCACGGCAAGGGTAGGGATATCAGAGGCTGATCAGACCAAACCTTTCTTGCACAACTTGTCTTTTGACAAGAGAACTAAGTCCCAGAGAGGTTGATTGAGCTTTTCCCAGGCCAAAGAGTGTTGGAGTTGGGACTAGTCCTCAGGGTTTTCCCAGTCCGAAGGCTATTTTTTGTCCCTCAAAACATGGTCTGTGGGAGTAAACGACTTGCAGACAGGTTTTTAAAAAGTAGCATCATAGCAGGGCGTGGGTGGCTCATGCCTGTGATCCTGGCTACTCAGGAGGAGAGATCAGGAGCATCATGGTTCAAAACCAGCCCGGGCAAGTGGTTCAAGAGACCCTGTCTCAAAAACACCCATCACAAAAAAGGGTTGGTGGAGTGGCTCAAGGTGTAGATCCTGAGTTCAAACTGCAGTACCACAAAAAAAAAAAAAAAAAAAAAAAAGTAGCATCATGTGCCAAGAACCTAACATGTGGTTTCTCTGATGCTGGAGAAGTCTGGTGAGAGGAGTGGTCAGCAGGGCCCTACTGGAAAGGGCAGGGGCTAAGCAGGGGATAGTGGAGCAAACAGGACTATGGTGAAGATGGTGGCTGAAGGGGCCGTGTGCGAAAGAAGCAGGGGAGGTTTTGGAAGGAGCGGGAACCCTGGTTGGGCTAAGGGTGGGAATCTAGTCATAAGTCTGAGTTATTAAAGGCTTTGGAACTCTGTGTAGGCCAGTTTCCAAGATGTAAGGAAAGCCCAATTAAAGCCTGATAAGAACTTGGACTTGGGAACTGGCAGAGTCTGGAAAGGAAAAAGATATGACGTTAAAGAGTTGGTAACCCATGGATGATAAGAAAGGAAGCAAGAGAATGAATTAAATTGTAAGGTAATTTTGTTTGTTACAAATAAAACTAGCAAAAGAGGGAAATGGATGAAAATTTCTTCCAGAGAAGCTATTCAAGTATTTCTTAAAAGTAGGTCTCACAAGGATATTACTTACCTGAAATCTGTTAGCATTTCCAAGCCCAAACCCCTAAAGAGTCCCTTAAGAGGCCTTTCCTGATGTGACCCTCTCCTATTTCCAAAAGCCTTGGTTCTTTTTTTTTTTTTTTTTTTTCAGTACTGGGGTTTGAACTCAGGACCTTGCACTTGTCAGGCAGGTGCTCTACCACTTGAGCCACTCCTCCAGTCCTCAGTTTTCAAGTAATAAAATAAAAGGCCAGGGCTAGGAGGGTAGCTAAATGGTAGAGTGCTTACCTAGCATGTGTGGGACCCTGGGTTCCATCTTCAACATTGCAAAAAGAAAGCAGCAGCAGCAGCAGGTTGGAGAATGTACCAGTTCTCCTTGCTTACCGCCTACCACCTCCCACCTGATAAATATTCCATGTCCCTCAGGACTCACCTCATTCACCTCCTCCCCAGAGGCAAGCGCAGGCTTTCCCTTGCACCTGGACACCGGCACCCTGTGCCCTAGAGGAAAAGCAAGTAGATTCACATTAGAAACTCTGGCTGAAGGTTGAGTGGGGTAGCAGCCCCTCCCTGACGGGGGGCTGAGGGAGGAATGAGGAAGGAGTTCCCTGTCCAGTGATAACTGCTCAGAGTCCAGCATGAGGCTGAGGCAGTGCAGGTTGTGAGGCCTTTGGGAACCCTGGAGAAGCAGTTTGTCAAAGTAATATGAGCTTTTTTTTTTGTCTTTTCTTTTTTGGTGCTGGGATCGAACCCAGGGCCTTGCGCATGCTAGGCAAGCGCTGTACCACTGAGCTACATCCCAGCCCAATATGAGCTTCTTCCTCCTCCCTCTTCCAGGAGAAGATGCAGCTGTCCTTGGACAGGCTCCAGATGGCGTGGCCCATTCCTGAAGAGCCTGAGCCCCTGGTCATCAATGAAGTTCTTCATCAAGTGACCCCAGTCTTCAGACACCCCCATAGTGCCAACTGGCCAGAAAGGGGGCAAGGAGTCCAAGGTCACATTACCTCTAATGAAGACACAGTGTACATTGCCTCCAGCCCACCACCTCCAAGAGCTCTCACAGCTGAGCCAAGACAACTAGCAGATCTGTACAAGGTGCTGGGGAGAAGGGGCCCTGACTCAAAGCCAGGAAACCCAGCCAGTCCTTCAATGGTCCTCCCTGTGGACTACCTTTCCAGCCATGAGGGCTACTTACCCTCCAACACAGATGAGCTCCCTCCACACGAGGCTCCCCTCACTGACCCTTTAGAAGACTTGGAGCTTCAGCACATCTCTCTTTCTGTTTTTACATCAAGTTCCCTTCACCCACTCACCTTTTCCTGTGGTGACAAGCTGACTCTGGACCGGTTAAAGATGGGGTGTGGCTCCCTCATGCTCTGAGTGTGGAAGCTTGAATCTGGGAAGTCAGTGTGTCATCACCCAGCACCAAATGCCCCACCGATCCAACCACTGCTCCAGTGGTCACCATCATTGGTAGCACCAGGTCTGCCTCCAGCTAGAGCACAGGCGAGCCAGTCTTGGGATTTGAGAGTTGACTTTTTTCTCCAGGGCCTTAAGATTACACCCTCCACCATGTGGACCTAGAGACCTAGGCTCCCAGCAACTTTGTTGGCCATACTGACCTGAAAGGGGAAAAGGGAAGAAAGTAGAAACCAAACTCTCACTAGTAATGGCAGAGTCCAGGGGATCAGTCATGAAACTACATATAAAACACCTACCACCCAACAGAACTGAAATGATAGAAATGTCCTGTCTGCATTGTCAATACAATAGGCATTTTTTAACAGCTGTGGCTAGTTGCTACTGCATGGGAGAACACAACTCTAGATGGCAGACACATTAGTGAGAATTACAGAGAGCCTTCAAAACAAAAATTGACCAAGAGTAATAGGGGAGGACGACCAAAGCACATTACATGCATGTATGGAAATGTCATGATGAAACCCCTTACAATATACAATTTATGCCAATAAAAATTTTTTTAAATTGACTCTATTTAATGGATGGTGTCATAAGACACTGGTGAACACTGATGCAAAAGGGTCCCTAAAATGGTCATGACTATTATAGAATTTACCCTTTCCCTAATTTTCCTAGTTTTGGAAGTTTACTGTTTCATTTTACCTCTGTCCTCCTTCCAGTGAATCAAGAGCAGCTTGATGATGGACAACTACTCAACCCACCATGGACCCTTGTCATTCAACCTGGCTCTGGATCTCTTGGAAGGGCTCAGACCCCTTGCTTCCTCTTTCTGCTGCAGCAGGTGCTGCCTTCAGCACCAGAGTCACCTCAAGGTCCTAAGACCCAACCTTCAAGGTTGTGCTTCCAAGTTATCTTTCATGAGAATACTCAGAGCTGGTACTCAGACAGTTCAAGTTGACCCTGGAAGATAATTCTCTTTCCCACAGCATACACTTGGAACCTGCTGCTTTTTCCTCCTTTGTAGCTATGGCCTCTGGCTCATCACTCTCTCCTGGCTCATTGCTGCCTCTATCCCTTCAGAAGCGTAAAGACACTTCTGCCTAAGCTACTAGGGGAGTCATGGTCTAAACTGATAATTATACACTTCCCTAAATAGATGAAAGGTCCAAGAACCTTTCTTAAGTTCCTACCAGAGCTGGGCCTTCACCCCTACTCCTGCTAACACTGGAAATGAGAGGCAGCTTCTCCAATATATTTTGTGATTCTCATTTATCAAAGTATCTACTGCAAATTTTTACTTCATCCTTCCCTAACCTACCAAATTAGACTGAGTTGAGACAAGTGTTCTCATCCTTTGGTTTACCAAGCTTCCTTCAGCGACCTAGAAATTAAAAGGATGAACAGTTGCTGTCTGTTCATATTGAACACCCTTGTTTCCTGCTAGTCCAGACTTTCAGTCCAGTTCTTTCAGGCTTTCTTTGAAAAGCTTCAGCACATTCCATTTCTCCTATCCAAGTACTAGCCAGACCTAACCCTGCTTAGCCTCTGACATCAGAGATCAGGTGCATTCAGGGTGGTATGGCCATAGACTTCCTTTACATTTCTATTCTATCCTACTTAAGATGCAGCAGTTGCCATGGTTCCTTGCATCTCAGCATCAACTTTGGCTTGTGGGCACATAGCATATAGTGCCCTTGATTCATTGCCATGGATTCTAATGGACAAGGCTACATCCTAAGAAGCAGGCCAACCTATTACCTCTTGGCAATAGAGCTATGGCTACTGTTCCTTGCAGTACTATTTTTCCCCTCTTTGGTTTCCTTCTAAATATGTTATCTTAGTCTTCTCCTTTTCCAGGGACACCATAGCCTTCATTTGTGTTAAAAAAAATTTTAGGACAGGGGTGGTAGTTCACACCTGCAATCCCAGCACTTGGGAGGCTGAGGCAGGAGGATTACAAGTTTGAGGGCAGCTGGGTGGGCTATAAAGTGAAAAAATAAAAGAAAAAAATTGAAGGATTCCTCTAAGGAGGCTGAGTACCACCTCTGTGCTCCCCTAGCATGATTCCAAATGCCACAACCTCTTCTGCTAGACTGCAAACAGCTTCAAAGTAGGAACTGTGGCAAGGTAGCCCCAGGATCATGTCTGCTCCATAGTAGGCTAAGTAAAAGGTAAAGTGTCACCTGTCACTTTTGTCTATTCCTCTGTTGCAGAAGCCAGTTCATTTGTGTTTGCCACCTCTTTCTTGGGACAATTGTTTGGATTTGTTCCTCTTCATTCCCAACCTACTCACTTCATTTGTCAATAGCACTGCTGTGAGATGATACACGTAGGGTGTTTGCTACTTTAGACACCTTGAAGCATACCTTTGACAGCTCATTTTGCCAGATAAAGTATCCTCTTTCCATTAATGTTGAAGAAGGGGTAGCCTTGTTCAGCCATTCCACCAAGTAGTTTTCACAATCTGCCCCTCTTCTCTTTTCCTTCAAAAGTCCAAATGAGGTTGCTAGGTTTACCAGTATGAGGTAGAGTGAGGCTTTCATTCCTCAGGAAAATTAGCAATGATTCTAAGTTTCAACATACATTCCAAAGCCAACCTAGAAATACCCGCTTTATTGAAATACTCCAAGTTCCATAATCTTCTGAGGCCTAAACACTACATAGAAGGCTTCAGCTCATTCTAAATGAATTCATGGATATCTCCACTCCACCCCTTTGAGGTTCTGGAGATTGAACCCACGGCCTTGTGCATGTCAGGCAAACACTACCCCTAAGCTAGATCTCCAGCCCTCCATCAATTCTTGCATAGAAATCCTCACCATGAATTATTCCTGAAAAGGCTCTTTCCCAAAAGCCAGAGGTTCTATTTTTCTAGCCCTCTACCTTACAAGGAATAGGTAAGTCAAACTAGTGTCTTCTCCTGTCTTTTCTACTTGCTTCTTTCTTCTCTTCACTCTACCCTGTCCCAACTTTTCAGCTTCTATTAGTAACCTACAGCTACAACTTCTCACTTCCTGGAGCCAGGTAAAAGATACAAAGCTAGTCAACTCCCATGTTTGTTCTCATCAGGGTCTGTCCTTTTCTGTCACCTGATGCAGTTGTCTCCTGTCCCAGTATCAAGTTCAAGCACTCTAAAGGAAGCTTACTCTCTTCTTCCTAGCCTACAGGCCTCACAGATGTTCACATCTTTATGAAAAGCTAATAGGTGGACCTTCAGCACTCTCTCAAATAAGAGATCAGAACAGTCTTTACTTACCCTCTAAAAAAAAAAAAATGCAATTCAGGATGAAGGGTAGCTCAGTGGTAGAGTGCTTGCCTACCATGCACAAGATCCCCTGGTTTCGGATCTCCAGCAGCCAGGGGTGGGGGAAGGGTGGGGAAGGGATTCAATCAATCGGCTAATTGAAAGAAGCAAGCTGTATTTTTACATCATAGCATACACAAGAATAAATCTCAACAGATTAAAAATCTTGTCTCCTTAATCTTGTCTCCACTCTTACAGATCAATATTGAAGAGCCAATATTTCAAAGAAAAACACTCTCACTAAATATGTATTAATATTCATTGTGAAGTAAGTCATCTGAAATCAAAGAAATGCAAATTAAATACTATTAAATATCTCTCACCAGATTAGCAAAGATTACAATAAAATTTAGCCAGTATTAATCTGGGAAACTGCTGTTGGTTGGCCCCTGAAAGGCAGGTGGGCAATACTCAATGAAATTTGAATAGCAACTCTACTATCATGTGAATATCCCAGATTGAATGGAAGATTCCTCAACAATGATTAAAAGGCTAGGTAATCAGAGTGCCTTAAATGCCCGTGAGTAGGAACCTGCTGAAATGAGATTTGTACAATGAAACACTGAACTTCGAGGAATCTGAAGCTACCAGTTGTAAGACATCCTATTACTTTAAATTCTAAACAAAACAAAGTGCTAATTAAACTGTAATATGCCACTGAGTTCTATGGTGCTTTTTTTGTTGGTGGTGGTGGTGGCGGTACTAGGGATGGAACCCAGGGCCTTGTGCATGGCAGGCATTCTACCCCTGGGCTACATCCTAGCCCTTGGTTCACATTTTAGTGCCTGTAATTGGGATGGGGCTTAAAATTGATTATAAGCAGAATTCAATCCACAACACCACAAAAAAAGAAGATTTAAAAAAAAAAAACAAACACCCACACATGACAAGAAAATGGTCAGTTAAAAAAAGCTAATAGAATTCATATATATCAATGCAAAATAACTGAAACCTCCACTAAAATGCTAATAGTGGTTATCTCTACCCAGATTTTTAATTATATTTTTGCATTCTTTTAATTACAAATACTCATCACTCTTCTAATTGGATAAAGCCCATAAAACATTATGAATTTCTTTACAAAGGCTTAGGATAGTAGGTCTAGAGACACTATTGACTATCTTTGTGGTCCATGCTTATTTTTCTTTTTTTGATAGTCTATATAGCTCAAACTCCCCATCTTCCTACTTCAGTCAAGTGCTGGCATTACAGGCATGTACCACCACACCTGGCCAGTGGCCTGTTCTTGTGTCTGACGCTTTTATTGACCTCTAGTTCTCATTAAGAGTAGAAAAGGTAAAAATGACACACCAGGTGAAGACAGGGTTGCAGTTTAACACCATAATGGAGGTCTTTGAAATCCAGTTTATATAACAAGGCAATTTCTACCACATCCAGAATAGTTGTAACAAATAACTTATGCATTGATTTGAAGGTCCTCACCAAAACTCATTGAAATTTAAACCCTATTGCATGTGTTGGGAGATGCGTTTTTTTTAAAGAAGCAATTAGGTCAAGAGGTTCTGCCAAGAGGGATCAATCCATTCATGGGTGAATGGATTGAGTTATGTCAGAGTGGCTTTGCCTCTTGTATGCATCTCTGGCCATTGGACGCCCTGTGCTGCCTTGGGATTTCTGTAGTCCATTAACAAGAAATACTTCACCAGATCTGGCAACC